TAGGTAAATTAAAATTATAGCCATTTGATATAATTTTAATTTGTATTTATATATTTCGTGGAACTTATTAAAAAGTCTATTAAAGTCTATAACACTTAACATTTTGTTTTTCGACGATACAATATAAGCCCTTTACAATATTATGTTGTACATTTTTACAAAAAAAAAAAAAAAAATGAGTAAACAAAATTCAGAACTATCAGGTGTTAATATTAACGAGGCGTTATCAATTTCATTATTTTAAATTTCTATAAGATGTTTTTTTACCAAAAATAATGCTCCAATAGCAAAACAACAAAAGATCTTTTTTGTTCAATTTTAGATTCTGAGTTGGGCGTAGAGGATTATTGTTTTACAAAGATGTTCATTTTTTTTCTGTGAACAACTTTTTTATCAGATATTTTGGTCCGATTTTTAAGTGTAGCAACTTTTCTGGAAGAAAATTTGACTGGAGAGGTACTTTAAAGAGGTCATTTTTTTTTCCAGTGGTTTTCCCAATAAATTACATTTATACAGTAAAATAAAGAAAAATAATTTTAATATTTTAAATCTATTTTAAACGGATTTTAAAAATAATATCTTATATTAATACATTTTAGATAATAAATAATAACCAAATGATTAATATTCCAAAACATATCTTTGTCTAAAAATAACCTAAATAGTCTAAATAGTTTATATAGTATAATCTCCCTTATTAAAATAAATTATTTCTACATATAATGATAGTAATGGTAATTTTTTTTTTTAATAAGTGGTTTATTAATGATGCAATTTTAATGAAAATCATACAAATTACAGCATTTTAAAACATATATAACTGAGCTTTACTCAGAATTATATTTTGTTTACAAACGTTTGTCATTGTGTACAAATATAAATTAAATTATTGTATTTATTTTACATTTTTACTTTTCTCAACTTTCCATATACATTGGTGACACATCCATTTCCACTTACAGTTATTTTTTTTTAATTTTATTTTTGTACAATCATTTGGGTTTTAAAACACATTTCTGTTAAAAACTATAACTACAATTAATATAATGACATTTTGTATTTTAGGTTTATTGTATCGCGGTCCGATGAATATTTTACCAATGTCCAATTTCAATATATACCTTTGAAGTAGTTAAATAAAGTTCAGTTTGTTCCTTTTTTTTTTATTATTATTATTGTTACTGTATGTTATAAAAATTTAAGAACATTTATTAATTATGGAAAAAGTTCATTTTACTGAACGCTCTTTATTTTTCAATTTTTTTTTTTTGCAAACATGTGTTTTTAGATAATGATTTTGGAACTTTATGAAAATTTGAAGTTTGTCATGAATATGGTTTTAGCTTAAATACCTATTTATTTTACCATCATTCATTTAGAATTGATTATGGCGCATAATCATATGAACTGTATCGAATTCTTTACCATCCAATGTGCAGTTAAATTTTTGCATTTTTTACAGTGAAAAAGAATTTTGGGAACATCTAGAGACCTAGCAGGGTCACTTCCACTGTTTTAATCGAAAATAGCCCTCCATTTGTTATGCAAAGCATATTTAATGTAATTAAATGTAATATAATTTATTATTACACTGGAAATAGTTTTGATTAATAACTACATTTACTGATTATTTTTTAAAAAAATTACTATTTTGTGTTTAGGAATGGATGTATATGCATTTTTGAGATCAAGAGAAATCATTTATTAACATGGCTCAATATTAATTTTATTAATTATATCAATAAAATTATAAGTATTTTTTATAGAATTATCAGTATTCAATGTTTAATTTTTCTTTTATGGGAGGGTCTAAATATTTAGCAAGGTAATAAGCTGGAGTAGTTTTAAAGTTAATTAATGGACAAATTGGAATTATCTTGTTTATGTAATTTTATGAATAGATGTAAGTGTGGGAACCTCTATTTTGTAATTAGATTTTTATAATTATTTCTTTTAAACTTTGGGTATGATTTTATTTGAATTTGTTATTAGTTTATTAACTTGTTTAGTGAAAGTTATAGTTGGGTCATCTGTTAACTTTTGAATATTATTATTACTCATAAAATCTAAAGTTTTTTTTTAAAATTTTACTATTATAAATGATAACAATAGCATTAGATTTATCTACCGGAAATATTTCTGAATTATTTGATTTTAATTTATTCACTGTATTGTTAATAATTGTATTTTGTCGTTTAACTATACTATTTTATTTTAATATTTTATCAGGCTTATTTTTGTAGTGTTTATTTGTGCTATTTATTAAGTTATATATTGTTTGATTTTGATTTTTAAATTGTATATAATTTATAACAGATTTACAGTGTACTAATTGTTTTTTAATTTATTGAAAATTATGGAAATTAAATTAGTAACTCGTGGTTGATAAGAATGTTGGTTTTAAGTTGTTATGTAATCAACGGTTTATTTCTGTTTTGTAACTCACCTATACACTTGTGGCACATCCTTACTGTCTTTTCGATATGTCGAGACATTTTAGGTCACCATACTAATTGACTTGCTTTAGTCGTACAATTTTTTATCCCCTAATGGTCTTCATGGATTTTGCTCAATACTTCTTGTTGCATTTTTAATGGAGCTATTATTCTCAGTACAATCACATTAAATTTATGACAATTATGACAAAAACGAGACGTTTAATGAAAATCGATAGATATAACTATCCCCACTAAACTTAAAACTTAAAACAGTATGTCCACTGAAAATCAGGACTTCTCATCACACATATTAACAGCAGATTTAAAAATTAAACAAAATACCTAACCTAGCTTAGTACTGTGAATAAGAATGTGTCCATATTTACAGTAACCGTAATCTCTAGAGATAACTTTAGCGTAAAATTGTTTGTTTTATCATAGTGGATAAAAAAGAAATTTAGATATGAAAACTACAAAAAATGATCACTCAATTTTAGTAGATGATTAGATGCAAATTGTTACAACAAAGTAGTATCATTTTTTGATTTTAGAAAGAAATTTCGTAAATAAATAGATAAAATATATATATATATATATAAATCACACACATTACACACAGTAGGTACATTCGCGATACACAAAAAATATTTTCGCTGTAGGTAGTTACTATGTAATAATAATACGTAATACCTAATTTCTTATCTTGTATAATGCGAAAACTGGGAAAATAATTAAACAATAAATAAACGGTTTCGCACTAATAAGCAATAACAATGTTATTATATTATTATGTAAATAATGATATCAGAGATCTGCGATGGTGGTGACCGAGCGACACAACACTGAAACAATGCGGTGTAATAGTGGCGATAAACTATGTTTAGGTCATAGAGTAATAATTAACGATTTGAATATAGTTCATTGGGGCTTTGGAGCGCGTGAAACAACCGAAAATTAATCGGCCGAACAGTATTTCAGTCGAAAAATATTTGAGCCGGGTGCCGACTTTTATAAAGAGATAAGGCCAGATCTTCCAAAAAACAATACGCGTGATAATAAATAAATAAAATGGATAGAAATTCAGAACATATAAAATAGAAAAAAAAAGTTGATCAGATGCCCCCCAGTAATATATATCTGTTTTTTGAATTTTTAATCAATGAAGTTAATTGGAAAATATGTTGGTTTAGTTTTAATAATAAATCCAATAAGTGTTAGAGGATGTTCATCTACACTTGAATAATTTAAATGCTTACAGATAGTTGAAACGAAAAATAATAGGTAATAATTATAAACTTAATTAAACAATATATATTTTTTCATAGAAAATATCCAAAATGTTGTCGTTCTATTATTTTTTGTTTGTTCAAAATTGTGTCGGAATTATAACACGTTCTTACGTCCGTTTTATGATTAAAAACAATGATAAGAAATGTACAAGTAGATAAATAGTTGTATTTTCGATCGAAATATTTTCTAATAATTTTAATCCATAACTATTATATAACTAACTTACTTAGTATACCTTGGTTTGTGTTATTTTTTTATATATATATGTATAAATCTATAATTTATCGATAAACTTTGCCGTTCATTTGCATTTTGCGATTAAATGTAAAATAAATTTACGAGTTTTCGTGGTTTTTATTATTCGGTTATCACAACTACGACTAGTCGTGGACTACGAGTCTGGGGACTTTGTGTCCCCAGACATTTCTTCCGGATTCCAGTATCGAAATAGATATTTGTTTAACTATCTCGATGATTACAATATAATTAATTGTAATAATAATAATGTATACCCAACCACTAATATATTATAACAGCAATCTCAACTACCTATTTTATACCCTAGTATGATTTAATACATTTTTAAAATTTTCTCGTAGTACTTCAAAATATCCCTTAAAACATAGTAATGAACCTAGTATTAAAGCTTAAACCAATTATCACTAGTTTAAAACTACTTGCATATTATTTGTCAAGTAATTATGTAAATCAGGCATGTTAAAAACACTATGGCCACAAGACTACATGCGACCCAGTTCATCTTTTGTTTGTGGCTCATAGCAGCCAATATTAATGGGGGAAAAATAATAAAATTATAAAGTAAAATCAAAATTATTAAAACAGTTAATAATCATAAATAAATGTATATATAAAAATAAATTAATAAATGCGTTACCTGGAATATTATGATTAGTGTATTATACGACCAGTTTCGAATCAAATTTCAAATTCATCATTTATTAATTAATTAATATTTTATTTTATACTTTCATTTTGTGTCACAACTATATTGTTAGAGAAATGTATATTTTGTGACTTTCTATGATAAACAAATTAAATGTTAACTTACCAAATGGTTTTTACTTATGATAGTACCACACTCATTAGGGCATTTTTACAATGTGTAACCTACAAATCAATAGTGACCTACCGAGTTATTTGTCATCACCTACACGTAATAAACACAAAATAATAGATATCTACATACATAAATATTAAATCACACATTTTAATTTTAAAATAATCTTTAATCTTAATTATAATACATTATGCGTCAAAGTGAAAAAAAAATAATTACTACTTACATAAAATAATAAAAAATTAAACTGAAAAATTAAAACTTGATTTTAAGATAAGTATAGGTAAACTTAATATGTAATTATTGTTTACTTTTTATTTTTTCCAATAACTATAAATTAAATTAAATATGAGTAGAAAAACTTCTTAGATGGCTATTTTAGATTATTAGATTTTATTTTAAAAAATGACAAAAAATAATATTCAAGTCCATATTACGTAAGCTTTGACATAGCATATATAAACAAGTCAGGTTGTGAGGCCCATAGGAACCTTAGTGTTGATGTACTTAAATTCCTAGGGCAACCATTTTCAAATACATACTGCAAAATCTCAAGTTTCCCAGATATGACAGCCATTTCAGCTGTATGAGTAGACCATTCACATCCATTCTCATGAGCATATCGCAGTATGTTAATATTCCCAGACATAGCAGCCATTTCACAAGTACCTTTGTCCCATGGACATCCGTTTTCATGGGCATACTTAAGTGTGTCAATTTGTCCACGCGAAGCAGCAAATTTGCATGTGTTAGCATCCCAAGGGCAACCTTGTTCATGGGCATATTTTAAAATATCAAGTTGTCCAAATTCACATGCCGCATCACAAGTACCCTTGTTCCACGGACATCCGTGTTCATGCGCATACTTAAGTATGTCAATATATCCTCGTGCAGAAGCAATTGCGCATGTGCTTTCATTCCACGGGCAACCATGTTCATGAGCATACTTTAATGTGTTAAGATGACCATTTTGTGCTGCCAAAATGCATGTGCGAGTGTTCCATTCTAATCCTAAGTAGTGGGCAAACATTAAACAATCTAAGTGTCCATGTTCTGCGGCACTGGTACAAATTGAAAAATCTGGTTTAATGATTTTTTCTCTCTCTGTGGTTGTACCCAATAGAAAAAGACAACATTGTTGCAAATCGACTTTCTTTATAGAATTTGGTATAGTGTTGTACCACTCTTTCTCTTCATCATTGCATGCAAAATATGATAACTTTATCAAACTAAACATAATTTATTCCTCTCTGGAAGTCCTCTTGTTTTATTGATCTAAAAAAACATAACATACAAAAGTTCTCATTATTCTAACAATATCAATACTAAAAAATATTAATATTTAATTATTTTATACTTTATTATATATTATTTTTCCAAGGTACCTACTAAAAATAAAAAAATGAATAGTTTTTTTAACACTGATGTTAGAACAATGGATCTATTTTAAAATTATGATTAACAAATACAAATCATAATAATAATAAAAATTACCATATTTTGGATTAATTGCTATTTTTTAAGATAATGTACAATATCTATAAAAGTGAGCATGATAGGTATGTTTTGATTATACCAATGAATTTAGTATTAAAAATCACACATTTGAAATGTTAAATTCTCACTAAGAAATGCGCAAAATGGAAAACCCAAACTTCATAAAGTTAACCAATCATTATCAATTACAAGGCATTTACCTAAATATATTATAATTATTAGTATTTATCCCTCCTCACTCACCGGCCTTTGATAAGCATATAGATATTTTAATTGTAAAGGGTTCCAGGAGGGGGATTGTCCCCTCGACATCCTATTTTATTTTATCTCATGTTATTGTTGTTTTTTAAAAATGTATTAATTCTAATGTTGGTATTGTTGCTTAATAAACAATTTTTCAATAATTTAAAAATACTAAACAATTGTATGGTCTAGAATTTTAGTACACTAATAAAAAAGTTTTAGTCTACAATTATTCAAAAATGCAGTTTATTGATCTTGCACTGATAGTTGAACTGAAGTGTGATGTTTTAGTATACTAATATGATTGGTATACCAATATAAAATTCAAAAATTTACCCCCTGATGTGAACCAGCTTGGAATATTCTTTGTGAATTTGAAATTGGAAACTTGTGCTTACTGCTTTAATTGTTAATGTTATAGCTTTGTTCAACGCATTAAAAAAAAATATTATTAATTTTATAAATTGTACATCATATTTGTACTTAAATACACTTAATGTATTATTATTTTATTAATTATATAATTATGATAGACAGCTGCTGTATTATACTTGTGTCAGTACAGAGTAACCTACATAGTTACCTAATGTAGGTATTTATGTTCATTCCATTTTATACATCATGATAAGAATTACATTTTTATCTTTTCCACCTTGATCTACAATGTTTAGAAGGTTTTGTAGAAATATACGTCAATTCATCACATAATATTGTAATTTATAATATAATAGTGATCAAAGAATTAAATGGTTTATTTATGGTTATATATCAACGAATAAGTGAATAATTATCACATTCACTGATTTCATACTTAACATACTGCAACATATTTAAATTATAATTACACTGAGGACTTGATTCAATAAGTTGAACAAAAGTTGGTAAAATAAAAGAAAGCAGATTTTAAACTTTAAATATTATGTTATCTTTAAAAATTAATCATAATTAATATAAAGTAGGTTTAGTTATTATCCACTTATTACAAAATAATAAAGATTTTGTATTAATCTATCGCGTATATATATTATAATTTTATTTTTTAAATCAACATTTAGTTATACCTAATCTATCGTCAGTATAACATTAAAGTAAATAATTAATAAAGAAAGTTGTAATGTACCGTATTATATTTGTAGGTCTATTTTTTCTCATTTAGATCACTATAAAGCAACCTCTTCTGTACTCGCTTTTTATGCTGTTTTCTCTACTAACTCCGTTTCCTCACCTAAGCATTCGCAAATCTATTTCACTCATTCTTTGTTATTCATGTTTAATCATAAAATTACTTCCAATAATATGAGGTACTCAATTATAGTAGATTTTGGTGACTAATCTGATGTATTCAAATACATAACCAGAAAACGGCTCAAAAAGTAGTATTATCGAAAACTATGAATGTAATACCATTAAATGGCGTACATACCTTGAATTTTTTAAGTCTGGGCTTAAGATTTTTATATTAAGTACAGGTTATACCTATATAGGTGCAACGAGTTGAAGAAAAAAAGAACGGTAGGTAGCACAAACTCGCAATGTTAAAACTTTATGTAAAATTATGCACAAAAAAATATAATATAAACGAATTAGATATAATCATCTACATTTTTTTTACCAAAACATAAAACATGCAACAAAAATGTGCACAAAACAAATACAAAATATTAAGCGTCAGTGCACGGCCTTACACGAGGTTTGGCGTCATAGGAATAATAATTTAACTTGGTGGAAGGGGGTGTAGCACTGTTACTTCCAAACCACGTGTTTCAAACAAAGCCAGATTTTTTCATGGAAAAAAATTATCGAATCGATGAAAATTAAACCGTTGAAGCTCCAGTATTCGTTTAAGAAACGATCGTAACTATTGTGCAACGATACGTACATACTCGTACCATGAAGAGTGCGTGTATCGAAATGTTTTCAGTATGTTAACCTATAAATGGCGGGAAAGTGAAAAAGTTTAAAATACCAAGAATGATAGAATGATCGATTAATAATCATTATTATCATTATTCATTAACAAATAGTAAATCCTTTAATATTTACGTTTTATTACCTAAGTCCTGTAGTTCTGTTATTCAAAAATAATTTAAAACGAATTTAATATAAATTAATATGACTTGTGCATTGAATTAAGTAGTTAGTACTGTACTTACAATTTCCAATATATCTTCAATGTTTTAAATTATTCTTGAATAACAGAACTACAGAAATTAATTCAACACACACGTCATATTAGAGTCTTGGACCTTTTATAGGTACATCCCAGTGAATTTTTAATTTAGTTAATATTTATAAATTTATATTAAATAAATTGACGAAGTACGAATATTGCAAATGAATAGTTTATTTCAAAACATAATAGACAATCGTAGTCCTTATTACTATTAAACTGGCTTTTTGTAAACTCATAATCATCGATTAAGAAAATTATATTTGTATCCAATACACATAGCATCAAAGACAAAGGATGTTTTTCTTGACTTGGAATAATAATTATTATTGTGCAGATGATTGTGTAGTACCTACTTTCTATAATAATGAATTTGTAAATCTTGATATTGTATTATTTTCTAAGTTACTAGACCAATGAAATTATGACGCAAAAGGTAGATAATTTTAAACAAAAAAGTGAAAACACTAAACATAGGATTAGTATTTAGTAAGAAATTTTTATCATCAGGTCGGATATGGTTAGAAGTAGAACAGTGAAAACGTGACAGCTGAATTTCAATCGTACAAACATTTCAAACATTTAAAACTTTTGCCCTTTGCAAATTTGCTCAAAAATCTGTAATATATCTGTAATAAAACCTTTAAAGGTGCTTTAATCTTTAATTGTGGTTAAAATACACGGTGAGGTCAGCCCAGTTCTCCCTCTAGTTCCTTTTGATTAGTACCTACTTGTCATTTACAATAAATTTATTGTTTGAGTTATAAGTTACCATTTAAAGATTAGACCGAAGAAATAGTTAAGGGTAATAGATCACATATCTATTTTTAAATAATAAATTATCAACTTTTCTCTAATCCTTTGATCTATAAACAATACATAAAACATTAGTATTGTTTATCTATCTCAATGATTTGGTGTGTTAGGCATATAAAAATTTCTACATAAATATTCTCTATTCTAATCTATGTTCAAAAAGTAGGGTTCTTATTTGAAAAACAAAAGTAAATACTAATTTAAATCATATGGAGTAGGGATAAAATTCAAAATGGTATTAAAATAAAGCTTAACCGATTCTGCACTATCTTAAAAAAAAAAAAAAACAGAAATCAAATTCTCTTAAAATCCTCTAAAAAATTGCTAGTACTAAATAAAAAAATCATTCTGTATACCTAACAGTTAGGCAAAAATCAGGATGTACTTGATTATATTATTTACTGTAATCCTATAATAGCTATATTATTTTATTATTTTATTACAGAAGAGTTGGAAATACCAAATTATAAATCGTTTGTTGTAAATTTTATATTTTTCAGGGTGACAGGTCATTTTACTGGTAATTAACAGTAAAAATTTACTAACATATAAATAAAATAATATCAAATCAAAAAAGTCAACAGGTAGATTACTAAAACAAATATATAAAATAAAATAAGATAAAATATGAATTAATTTACTAAGAAGATAATGATAATAATAATAATGGTAACAGTGGATGATTCTAAAGGTAATGTATGAAATTGTATTTTTAAATTTCGACGCTCCAAAATTCTGCCAGCTTTATAGCCTTGTTATTTGCAGCTTGTAAGTCTGTCACGTCACATTTTGCTGGGCATTCGTTGCAATTTAGTAGGTGTGACATTGTCTGGGCCTCTCCGCATACACAGCTCGTGTCTTCCTTCTCATCGCTGATTCCCCATTTTTTTTACATTCCCCTTCGACTGTCCAACTCCTGTAGGTAACTTCTATTTGCCTGCTTTCTACCTCCCATAATTTCAATCTTGCTGTCTGTGGGTTTTCTTCTAATATCTTCATACATTTTAGAAAGCTCTTTCTTGATTTTAGTTGGAAACATTCTATTTGTGGGTTATACATCGGGTGTCTTACATCCGTAATCTGTTACATCCATCTATGTCACTAGCAATTTGTCTACTTATATATGTTGGCGCTATTCCTGCTAGAGGATATAGTTTATCTACTGGTATTGGTTTTAAGCATCCTGTTATAATGCATACTGTTTCATTTAATGCAGAATCAATTTGTTTAGTGTGAGTTGATCTGCCCCACACAGCCATGCATATTCAGCCACCGAAAAACATAGAGCTAGTGCAAAAATTCTAACTATGTCGGGATGAGCCCCACTTTGAACTAACCAATTTTCACAATAGTGTTTCTAGCGCATATTTTCCGTTTAAAGGCAACACAGTATTCTTTAAAATTGAGTGATCTATCAAGGTTAATGCACTTAGGTATTTAAGGTAGGGTGTGTGTTCTAACTTAACTCCTTCCCAGGTAAAGTCCAGTTTTCTAGATGCTAGCCTGTTTTTCAGATGGAACACACAAACTTGAGTCTTCATTGAGTTAGGCTTCAGCTTCATGCTTTTATAATATGTTATCATGGTTTTAAGTGAGGAGGACTCCAATTTAGATTCTATTCCTTCAAAGTTGTTATCTTGAACTATTATCGCTGTATCATCCGCTTTATCATAGATGAAATGTCTGGCACTTGAAGTGATCGCTTAGTCATTCGTATATATATTAAAAAGGATTTGGGCCAGAACACTGCCTTGTCGAAGCCCATTTTTTTTACTTATCTTGCCTCCTAGTGTCACGTAGAATCTTTTGTATTGGAGAAGTGACTGTATTATCTGTGTAAGACCCTTGTCTTTGGTTAGATTGTAGATTTTATCGAATAAAATTATATGGTTGATCGTATCATAGGCCACTGTCAGGTCTATTAGGGCTACTCCAATGATATATTTTTTTCGTAGCTATTTTCAATAAACAGGGTTATATTTAGTAACTGCCCTTGCATGATTTACCTGTATATTATTATAAAATATAGATTTAATACCTATTATTAGAATCTTTACAATACCTACTTATCCAGATTTCAATATTGTACAATTTACATGATACTGCCTATTGTTCAATTAATACTATAATTTTATTAATTTTTACAACACTATTGTCTGACCTAAAAATAAATGTATTTATTAATAAGAGTTACAGATTGGCATTACCCTATTACACATTTTTTAAGGTTAAATGTATTACTTACCATAATTTCATTGTTTGATTGTCCACAAAATGATACTGTTGTTAATTTGATAGTGTAAATCCGTCATATTTTAGTCTGGCCCAAGGTTAGGATATTCAACATTTGCTTGACCTAAAATTAAATTATAAATTGATTAAGGCATAGTTTTTTAATAACTCGCATACATTCTTCATTTAACCAGTGAATATAGAGCATTAGAATTGCATTTTGTTTAAAACTTTAAAAAATATTGATTGAGTGCTTCCAACAATATCATCATCTAAATAATCAAAAATGTGTAGACCAACTGTTATGGTTTGTATGTATTTTTTAATGAGGGAATTTTTAAATAATATTGTGAATTTATTACTAATATTATTAAATATAGTAAATAAATATATAAATAAAAAATAAATAAATGAATGAGTGCATAGCCTGGAGTATTATAATAAGTGTATTATACAACCCGTTTCAAATTAAAAATTTATTATCAGGTATAGAATAATCAAAATGTAAAACGTGATTGAATATAAAAAATTAAATGAAAGAATACATAGAGAAAAAAATAATATACAAATTGGTCGTTTTACATAGAATATAAAAATAATTTTTTCTAAAGGAGAGATCATTTAAAATTAGACACAGATATGTTAAGAAATATAAATTATTTGATTATTGTTTATTATCTAAAAGTATTGATATAAGATATTATTTTTAAAATCGGGTTGAACATTTAAAATATGATTAAAATTAGTTTTCTTTATTTCATTGTGTAAGTGTAATTCTTCTAAAAATGAATTAATGAAAATGTTATTTTGGGTATTTAATATTATTAAGTCTGTATTAATATAAAAACTTATATTATGATTATTTTCTAAAACATGGTTAGCAAAATTGGAATTAGGGGCAGTCTTTTTAAATTTTTTTTTCAGAAATGTGTTCTATACATCTTATTTTAAAATTTCTATTTGTTTTACCTAAATAAAATTTATTACAGAGATTTGTTGTGATGTTTATAGTTCTATTCTTTATATGTTTGATTAAATTATTATTAGTCTTAAAAGCGATTTTTACATTATTTGCATTATTGTTCAGAATTTTAGCGAATTCTTAAACATATTATTTTAATATTTACATACTACAATAATTAACAACATTATTTAGTGAGTTGTGTATTATTTTTTCTTTAATACATGAATGCATTTTTTTAATAGTATTTAAATTTAAATTATTTCTATAAGCTATATATAGATAATATTGAGCTAGTGTTGATAATTATGTTATCATTTTAATAAATATTAAATCCTACAATTTAAAAGTTCATATCATATTATAGTTTGTTAAAAATTATTGAATTTACTATTTACACTTTTAAAATGTTTCAAAATCTATATAGTTTAGGTACTAATTATACTATATTTTCACAAAAATCAACAAAAAACTTAAAACTACATAACTACTGAATGAAAATGTATTATATTTATAACTGATTACTGAAAGTAATTTTATAATAGGTTCTTTGAAAATGTGGCCTCCTTACTGGTGATGAAAAGTGTGCCTGTTGTGTGTCGTCCCTTTTTAACAACTTTGGGTTGAGGTCTGGGCAGAGCCCATTGATGGAAATTTGCTGCAAACTTCAAAAAATGATAACATTTTGGTGAGAAAAACAAAGTTTTCAAGGAAATATGTTCTAATAAATAATCTTAAGAAATTTAAATTTCTGACTTAATATTGAACCTATATTTATTGTGGCCAACATCAGTTAACTGTAGAAAAACCCACAGTAAAGTTTATCATATCTGTCATTATATTTTATGATCTGTAGAATGTTATATAAAACATAGTACTGTATTATTATGCAGTGTATAATGCTTTATGGTGTGTACTTGGTGTTTATTTGATGGTCCATTTTCTCCGTAAATTAATAGGTAGGTATCTACTTGTACCTGTTTGTAATTTTGACTTTTTAAAACCTATAAATTATATACCTATTATATAGAATAATAGTTGGTTGAAGACGACTTTAACAAATTAAAAAGTAAAAACTGTACCCTCATAGATAAAAATAATTTTATATAACATATCAAACTGCGTGTGAACTCCAGATTCCATTGAATAAGTTGACTGTGTAAAATATAACAAAAATAAAAATCAACCTGTCTGTAAATATAAAACGACACATGAACGCGTTGCAGTTGTTCGAGAACTGTCAAAGGTATGATGATAAAATAAACTTAAGTTTACCATGATGGATATAGCTGCATATGCGAAGGTCCATGAATTCGTGTTACATACTGACGACACTAGAAAAAGGTCGCCTGTGCAATACACATTTTTATACACTTGGCTGTAAATAAAGTATTTTTTTAGTTGAAATAATTAACAAAATAATACTACATTATTCAGTATTATTTTAATACAATATAGATTTAATACTAATTAGATACAATAATATAGAATATTGTTATAAATATGTGTGTGACGTGTTAACGTGTTAACATTACAATGTGTCCATATTTACAGTAATCGTTTTTCTAGAGATAACTTAAATGTAAAATTGTATGTTTTATCATAGTGGACAAAAAAAGCATTTAGATATGAAAACTACAAGAAAAATCAAAAAATTATCACTTAACAACATATTTTAATAACAAGGTATCAAAAACAAAAATGCTTACACACTTGTGAGCTGTGATATTATTGATATTTAGTAGAAAAAGTTATAAAAAAATCGCCAAATCTGACAACTCTGGGAATCCGACACTCGTTAGTACTAAATTTTGTTCATTTTTTTTTTATTACTTTTTGTGTGGGGCGATAGTAAATAATCAAATCATATGTTACACTAGATCCGTACAATTAGTTAACATGCTAGAAAAATCGACTCACGTTTTGTAAATATCTCGGCACCGTGGCATTCACAAGATGTACAAGTTCGATATCAAACGTGTTATATTTGTTTGCATTATTTTACAATACTTGTAATCATTAATATTAAAACATATTGTATGTTATGTACTATTTATGCAATGATTTATTATGAAAACACACATTTTTGAGTTTTGGTTTGATACCTCCAAATGCATGTTATAAATCAATATTAGATACTAGCCTAATCCGGCATATTTTATCCAATTTAATTGTTCAAATGCTTATTATTTCCATTTCCGCATTTTAAATGTTTATATCTTTTGTTTAATAGAGAAAAAGAATTGTAATATGTAGATTCTGAAAATACTTACTACTGATTATAAAGGATGGTTATGGTTTAATACAACAGGAGTTTTGACCTCAACGATTCGTTCATATCCTAATAGCAATCTGTATGTCTGTCCATTCACTTAGTTATGAAGGTTAGTCATATAATTCATAACTACTAAATGGGTACTGAGGAACAGAATTTAATGCTCTGAAAAATGCACATCACAGAAAATCTAGAAATGATGGAGTGATAATTTGCAGCTCTTTTCTTCAAACTCATAGACTCAGAAGAATCAATAAATCAATTTTTACATTATTTATATTTTAGAATTTTAGTGAACTTATTAGACATAATATTTTAATATATCATGCTACAATAGTTGACAACATTATTCGGTGAGTTGTGTATTATTTTTCCTTAAATAGGTTTATACATTTGTTTAATAGTATTTAAATTGAAATTATTTCTATAGGCTATATTTCAGATAATATTAAGCTCGTGTTGATAATTATGTTTATTTAATGGAATACGTTCAAGCCTATAGAATTTTGAATTAAAAAATTATATTTTTCAAGAACAATGATGATTAGAATTATGTGGTATTATAGCATCAGTTTGTGTAGGTTTCCTATAAATACTAAAATCAAATTTATTGTTTATTATGGAAACATAATTTCGTTTGATATTTTGGTATTTATTTTTTATTATTGTGTATGAATATTTTATTCATATATTTATTTTACGAGTTTTAACTATTTTAATAATTTTGTTTTTCTTGATTATTTTAATATAAATAATTATTATAATATTAATACTACTAAAATTGTGTACTACTGGCTGACAATTAGTGAATAATCTTGTGTAGACTGTAGACATTTTACAGTTTACAGTATTGCTTTAGTAAACAAGTACAAATTAATCTCAATGAGCTAACTGAAAGTCTAATACATCATATTTTTATAATAATGTCTGACTTTTTTCTTATTGTACCTATTTTAGACTTTGAAAAATATTCAATAATTTGGAGGGGGCTTTCGATCTTTTGATGAGGACTAAGCCCCTCCAGCATCTCCCAATCCTGTAAGCAACGATAAACCATTACTTACGAAAAAACGATTCTGAGCAGATTTAAATTGATAGTGATGTTCTTTGTCAACAATATTTATGACAATTTTTAGTAAAATAATTAAATATGCTTTATATGTTTTCTTTAATAATATTTGTTTAATGTTGTACCAAGTTTCCCAGTTTTCCTACGATTTTCCTGGTTTTCCTCTATATTTTCGGTTTTTCACAATTGATAAGAAAACTCTTGAGAAAATCGAAAAATGGCCTCCTTAAAGTACTTCCTTACATCAGTTTTTTTTCAGGAAAATTGCTACACTTAAAAATTGGATCAAGTCCTCCTGTAGAAAAGTTGCATATGGATAAAAAAAAAAAAAAACATCTTTGTAAAACCATAAGCTTCTTCGCTTTACTCGGAACCTAAAATTGTATTGTAAAATTCACGTGTAACATATGAACAGCTATAAGAAAATCTTAATGAATATAATAATTTTAATAAATTATTGTTAATCTCATCAAACACATTTCCAAAAAAAAGAATAATAGTCCCACACAGTAAATTTATATAAATATAATAATAATTTGTTCTTCATTATAATATAGGTGTTAACTTAACTATTCTGATATAGTTGTTATATAGCTTATACCATTTATATGTTGAATATTTTGAAAGTACTTAATTAAATTGCTTAATTGTTAGGTGGTTTTGTATTTTATTAATTGTCCAAGTAGTCTTATATTAAAATTTGTATTAAATATTTTCAATATTGATTATTGTGGAAAATAAAAACTAGGATTATATAATTTTAATAGAGCAAAGCTTATGATTCAGACTCTAGCACAAATGGGAATGATATAATTTCATAGCCCCTTTGGCTGTGCGATGATGGACAAACAGTGAAGCATTTTGGCAAAATACATAGCAACTGCAAGATTGAAGGTGGAATTATTTATTTACACAGAACCAGATCAGATGCAGTGGTACAGATAACTTATCAATGCCAAGTTTTAAGATAAAGTTGTATTGTCATTATCATTATCTATTGGCCAAATGTAATATGCAAAATAAATTAATTTTATGAAAATTAAATGAACAGTGTTAATTATTTATAATAGTAATATCTAACAGATGTTAAAAATTGCTCATACATGATTATTTTGTTCTATAAGTGAAAAAATTTAATTTCTATGTTACCTAGTTTACAGTTAAAAAGAAATTAGTTATAATTATTTAATTTTGTTGGCAAAAACAAGGACATGGTTTTTTTTTAGACTGTGAATTTCTAGACAAAAACAATTAACTGTGATGGGGATGAGCATAGAAAATACTGGATGATTGTAATACAGTATGAACAAAATATATGAATATCATTATTCTTTTATTTTTATATTAAAAAGTGCAAGAAAAATAAATACATAGTTAAACTTTTGTGTGTTTGAAAATGAAAAAACCAATAATAATAATAATTGTTTATTCAAATAATAAAAACAGGCAAATGCCCAATAGTGCAGGTACTAGAATAAATTCATCCAATAAATTAATACATATATATAACATTGAAATTCTTAATATCAATAAGCTAGAATATAAACCGGAAAGATTATAAAAGACAATATTACATATTATTTATTAATTAAGCATATTTTATAAGTTGTGACTAATGGAGAAAAGAAAATATCAACATGATGAGCAAATCTATTACATAAAGATATGGTTCTTGGACTTGGAGTTTTTTAAATAATTTGTGGTGTGTGAAGGCAAGTAAAACATGTTAGTGGACGAATTATTATAGGCTGGAATGTTGAATGAAATATTTTGTAGTAAATAAGGGGTGATTATTTATTAATTTATATAGAAAAGAAATCCTGATCCACATTTTCATTATAGTAGCTTAGTGGCATAAAATGTTCCACTTGGACCATTGCCATTCTTAGCATCATGATGTTTTTGAAAGCGTGTCAGCCATAGCCTCATCAGATAATTTTACTTCCTTATTCACCTATAGGAATCGGTTTTATCATTACTACTTGCATTAATAGTGTCATATGCTTGCAGATATGATCTGTAAATCAAAATTCTAAAAAACAATTATTTGGATACCTTCATAATTGTTACTTGTTGGTATTGAATATCTTCACTAATGTTGAAAAGGTCTTTTTATTATTAGCTATTTAATACCTTACCAATTGGATGTCATATATAAACCAGGTGCCATGCGTGCTGTCTTTGTTCATTCAAGCTGTCTAGTTTGTAAAAATTAATATAAACAGTTAAACCACCTTTTTAATTAAAATAATAATAAAATATATTTATAGTGTAAATATACCTACTGGTCAAACTCAAATATTCACCATACTTTAAAAAACCAATGCACCCCAAAGAAACAGAGATGTGCTCAGGAATTTCGAATAGAGGGAGGGTTCAAATTGTTTTTATATAATATAATTAATATAAATAATGAATTAAAAAGTAAAAAAAAAAAAAGAGACGTCCTAGAATAATAAGGACGGGTACAGCCATTGTTATTGATAATTTAATGTATACCTGTAATCAACGATAAACCATTGCTTACGAAAAAACGATTCTGAGCGGAGTTCAGTTGATAATGATGCTTTGTCAACAATATGCCACATTATAGTAAAATAATTAAATAGGCATTATATATTTTTTTTAATAGAATTTGTTCAATATTGATCCAGTTTTCTCATGGTTTTTCCCAGTTTTTTTTGCTGGGAAAACTCTTTAAGAAAATCGAAAAATCACTTCCCTAAAGTACCTTTCCAGTCAGATTTCCTTTAAGAAAAAGTTGTTTTATTGTAAATCGAAGAAGAATTGCTGGTAGAAAAGTTGATCGTATGAAAAAAGAAGGCCGTAATATTTTTAACTAATACCATTGACTATAAATATTAGTATTTACAATCGTAAAATACAATCGCTAATACATACATTTCGTACATGTTCCGTTTTTCTTATTGATTACGAAAAATCTTGGAAAATAAAAAAATCGACTTCCCATAAACACCATTCGGACAATATTTCCTTTCAGAAATGGTGCTGCGCGTACATATCGAAGCGTGATTTTAATTTGGCCAGGTACTACCTTTAAGTACATTTTTGCGATCTAAATATCGCTCATTTAACTGTTGCATAAATGAATCAATGTTTATGGTATAGCTATCGTTACTCTATAATGTTCTTCAGGATCATTAATACAAGGGTTAGCTCATTTTGTGCACTTATTACTCAAACGTTTCATTAGTATTGTAATGTCCAATATATTGGCCATTTTTTAAAGTAATATTATTTTTATTACTTAAATTAAAAAATATAATAGTTAAACATTGATAATCATTAGTTCAGCTTCTTTAAACAATTATTGTTTAAACTCATCAGTTATATTTCTATGTAAACTTTGAATAGTAACAACAGTAATTTTAGCAAGATTCACTGCTTCTTTTAATTCAAGATTGACTTGTAGCAAAAATTTACATAATGGTAAACCATATGATAAACAAAAATAATTTTCATTAAGGTTAAAAATTATTATTAATATTTTATACAAATGCATGCCAATAGATTTATAATATTTACTTAAATAACTTGGGGAGAAATTAAAAATTCTGAGTCCATCTCACGACATTTTAATTGTAAATTAGTAAATGAAATAATGTCAAAATATGTGTTATAACCTTTACAATTATATTATATTATGATAATTTGAAAAGTTAAAAATTATTTGTGATTATGGTTACTACCTACTTACTAAACTATATCAAATAATACAGACTGATAAGGAAATAAATGGCACGGACCTTAGTCAGGCCTATCATTTACAATGATAGCACTTTTTCTGTAAGGAAATCTTACCGCGAAGGTATTATAGGGAGGTAATTTATTTTAATTTTCCTTTATTATACTAGTATTTATTTTTTTAATAATTTTCCCAACCAATGTGAAAAACCGGGAAAATCTGTACCAATAACTTTAAACGAATATTAAAGAAAATATTTAATGCCTATTTAATTATTTTACTGTAATATGATATGGGCACCTATATATTGTTGACAAAGTATCACTATCAACTGAACTTTGCTCAGAATTTTTCGTTAGTAATGGAAATTATTGTAATTGTATACAGAACAGACTGTTCAAAAATGGTTCATTTAGTTTCATTTTCATAAACAGGTACATTAATTATTTTCATTATGATCATGATCTATAGATAAGAAATCAGACATTATAATTAACTAAATATTTTAGGTGTGGTTATTAATAATAAATTATACCCACTCACCCCTATAAAGTATTAAATCTATGTCATGGAGGAAAACCCCTTTGCCCCCAACCAATTTCTTAAACTACAAAATATTATTTTCATAAATTTGTTTGTTTACTAAATGGTTATATTTATGAATTAGGTTACTCATATTTTAACACACTACGTTTCAATACATCAAAATAGGTACTATAATTGTTAATAGAAATTATTTACATTATAATTATCTGAAATTGATAGTGAAAAACATACTGATTTCAGTATATCTATATTTTTATGTACACATCATACCAAACAGTACTTATAAGAACTATTTATTCAATTTTTTTAAATATTTTTATAAATTAATAGATGTGTATTGTTGAATAAGTAGTTTTTTTTAATTTTTTTTTTTAGTATTGTACTGTATGATGCAAAAATATTAATAATTGCATCACCATTGATATTAATACCATTTTCACATAATATTAGTACAAGTAAATCTGATCCAATTGGTTTTTTCACATTGTATTTTATAACTGAATTTTAAAGTTTTATTTTTGAAAAGCTCATTCTGAAGATGATCATTATAAAAGTTAAGTTAAACCAATATTTAACACTGTTTAGGTAGCTAGAAACACTTCTTTTGATCCATTTTAATGACATACTTAGTATACTATATTAATTGTTCCACAAATTGTTGACATAATTTCATTTTCTGTAGTATTATCTTTTTCTTCTTCGGTATCTTCATTATTACCACCCTTTTGTGAGCATTTTGAATTTTGAAGGGGACATTTAACTTTAAAGTATAAATATTTTGTTACTTATTTGTGTATTTTATAAAATTTACCATTAAATACATAACTACAAACAAAAAATGATTTGAAATACCTTATGTATTATACAGAATTATACTACCACACAATATAATAATACAATTATTAACATTGCATTATATTATTATCTATCTGAACACAGTATAACTAAAAAGTCATGTTTTTTTTTTATACTAACAGTCATGGTGCTGGAGGGCCGCTGCTGGTCCAGGATCTTTGGAGGGAATATCGGCCCTGGGCTTTTGAGGCCCGTACCTTTCTCGCGACCGGGATGGGTTCCCGTTCATCCACTAGGTGCAGTGTTTGAGCTTTACTATCTCGCGCCTGTCCCACAGCCACCACGTTTCAGCCGAGTTAGATTCCTCAACCTAGGGTGCACTAAGTCTGGAGCGGCCAGGCCAGTCCAGTGTGAAGTGGGGCTCCCCCGTCCGGGGTACCGACTAGGTTTTTGGTTGACATCGGTAGGTCAACCCGAGAATGCGGGATGAGAATCTATTTTGGCTCCTCGGCCAGCTAGTGGGGGGTCTATATTAATGAGGGTAGTGAGAATTTTGAACAAATTTAAGGGATGTAGAATACAAAAAAGTTGGAAATCACTAACTACAAGTTTGAAATAGCTATAAACATTGATTATACAATAGACAGATTTCTATGTTTATCTATGTATACCTATTCAATATTAATAATTATACTTTATCCATAGGATACAGCTGTCCACCAAGAGCAAAACTATTTTAGATAGTGTTGGTCATTTTTGTATAAGTAAACTAAAAACAATTTGTTTTTGTAATGTGCACACAACCTAGACAAAATACCTTTAGGAAAAACATAATTCAGTTGTCAGAATGTCATCTATTTTAGGTACTGTAATTTTCATGTAATGCACACTATACAATTTAGAAGAAAATTTTATAAAAAAAAGAAATATGGATTCACCCATTAAATAAAAACCCCAATTACTCAAATGTAATTTAATCTTTAATTTGGGACTTTGTATGTAATAAGTATTAGTATAATAACTACAACCTGCCAAATAGTATAAACTGTATAATATAATAATATTGTATAATCAATGCCTATAATGATTTTATTTTCCTTTGTTATTCACAAAATTATTACAACATATATAGATAAAGAGTAGTCATAATTAATTAAATAACACTAGTAAATAAATATATAAATAAAAAAATTATATACATAAGAAAATATATATAAATTAATGAATGCATGCCTGGAGTGGTATACTCCAGGTGATGCATTCATTTTTTTTATTTTTATATATACCTACATTTTTTATTTACATATTTATTTACAAGTATTAACTATTTTAATAATTTTGTTTTTACTTAATTATTTTATTATGAAATAACATTATTGAAAACTATATATATATATATATATATATATATAACTATATACATTATCATTGAACAGTTTTATGGTTTTTTTGTTTTAAATGTTTGAGAGTTATGCAGACATAAATATACTTGTTGTTATTAATAGGATTGTTCTTTTTGCATTTACAAGGTACAATTAGATAATAAGAGAAATAATATTCAGATTGTTCCAGTCAAACTCCCCACATTGTGTGATAGATAACTAACCTTAAGAATCTGTTTCCTCATTTGAATTAAAAAGCAAAGATATTTTGTTAATCCATAAAAATCCAAATTTATGTAGGTTTAACTTTTTTACAGTAGTAATTAATTAATTTACTGATGGGTAATGAGTAAAAAAAAAATGGCAAAAAGTTGAAATATGATTATTTAAAATTTAAACTCATAGATACAACTGGTTACAGAACACATTTAACTTGTGCAGATTTAAAGATTTCAAAATGTACATCAAAATATTAGCTAGACTTATTTCAAGATGTGAAAAAACAAATATACAATAAAGTATATGATGATTAATAACTTGTGTTTTAATATTAAGTCTTAAAGACTAAACAATAACTAAAATTATTTTGCATAAAATGAGACTTTGTAAATTTCACTATTTTTTTTTACTACACTAATTACAAATTATAATAGTTATAAATTAAATAAATTTTAACTCGATAGATGAATTTTAAATAAGTTTATGTGCCACATGGATATTAAAATATGTATGCTACAATATTTGCATAAATAATTGTCAATTATCAAATAATCTGTTTTTTTTTTTTTTCTAAAAATGGACATTTTAAATATAAATAATTATACAGTAAATTGTAAACTGTTAAATTATAATATAATTACACATTAATACTATAACAAGTTGTATAATTCAAACTGTAGATTAAAAATAATACAAATAAAATTCATAGATATAATTTCAATAAATATACAATGACAAACATTACATAATCATCCTAAATGTTAAAAGCTGAAATCTAAAATTACTTATAAAATTAAGATAAGTTGAAAAGTATTTAATATTAATATCATAGTAATTTATTTTGTCAGTTATAAAAGATAAAAGCAAATTTTACTATTTATTATAGATGTATTTTTTCAAACTACAGTTTGAAGTTATTGTATAACAATTAACCATCAAAATATTAAGGAGTAAAATAGGAATGAAAATGATGTATTAGTAACTAATGCTTGAATTTGTATTGGTGAATAATATACTATAGACAAAAATGTTCAGGCAATTTTGCAAATTTTATTGTTGGTACTTATAAAAATTGATGGATATTTTGCTATTACTTGAACAATGAAATTAACATACATGTTTTAAAAATAAATTAATCTCATAGGGTTTTTAACTTTTAGCTACTACCATCATAGAACAATTTACTTTTTGAAAAACGATTTAGGACTTTGCAAAACTTTACGGCTCTTTAGCACGGACCAATAGTGTCGATGTAAGTACCATACAACCAAGTTCAAAATTCCTAATAATGTGAACGCCTAAACAAATTATTTAAAAAAAATTAATAACTAAAATGATTTAAAATAAATTATTTTTTACGTACTTTCATTGCAAACAATTTTCTAGTATCGTGTTCAGGCTCTCCACACCATTTCAAGAATGTAACTACATCCTTAGCGCATTGACTTTGAGTAGCAGGTGTACCATCTCCATATTCAATTATCTAAAATAGTTCATTGTTAAATATGATTTATTTATATGTGATTAGTTACTTTTTTACAAAAACTATGGTTACAACTAGTTTGCAACAATAACAGAAATAAATAATTAAATATTTTATTTGTTTAAAAATTATTACCTCATCATATAAAGCTTGAGCCATACCAATTGCACCGCCAGGGAAATAAGGATTGTAGTGTTGATTTTCAGCAAGTTGTACACCCGCAGGAGGATCCATGTATCCAGTTAACAAAGAGAAAATATAGTTCTGAAATTGTTTAAGTTTCTTAATTAGCATTTCATAATTCACAAGTAGTTGTATTTTTATTCTATACATAATATACCCTATTCTTTGAATTTCAACAAAACCAATAGTATGAAGATAGATAAGATCAAGATGTCTATTCTATTGTCAAATAGAAAATGCCCAAATGTTGACCAGTTATACAGATGTTATTAATTAATATTTTAATTATTTTTTATGCAAAAATAACTACATTTTTAAATATAAATACCTAATGAATAATATTGTGTATTGTATTATATTTCACTAATTTAGAAAATACACATTTAAGAAAACTAAAGGAGATATTCATACATTTAAATTATGTATAATAATTATAGGGAAAACTTGAGAAATGATGTAAAAAAAAAACAGGAATATTTAAAAATATGTTTCATTAGTTTAAGTATTGTATTCTTTTTTCTTCTTGTAATTCAATGAAAAATATTTGTAGAGTGGAAATTTGCCGTCTTTAATAAACATAAAATTAGCAAAACATTTTGAGTTATTAATAGGCACTTTATGTCTGTTTTTTTTAAATTTAGTTTATATTCTGTAGATCCGGGTTCTTAACCAGTGGTCCATAGACCCTTAGGGAGTCCATAGAGGATAACTGGGTGTCCACAAAATTGGTGAGATTTTTAAAATTACCTAAATATAAATTTGTTTCAAATTATTCGATAAATCAAAATCGTCTGTTAAGATAAAAAATGTTCGCTCGGTCACTCAAAACACACCGGGAAAACCAATAATTATTAGTTCATACAATATCATATCTAGATTATGACATTTATGATTACTGTGACAATACAATTTAACAATTTTAACTGAACACGAAAACTCCAGCTCTCACTATACTGCGTTGTGCTGCATATAGTGTCTCGTTAAATTGTGTTTTGTCACCTACACATTACACATTGATTATTTGCTCATTATAATTATTCCAGTTTACGTATTCTTTTATTTTTATTTTGTTGAAAACATATTATGTCAATGTCAAAAAAAAGAAAATATAACTCATATACATTGTATGGTTTTACATTTATTACCGATTGTAACAACCAAAAACCACAATGTTTTAATTGCGGAAAAATTGGAAATGGAAGCATGAAACCAGTAAAACTCAAAGAACATGATTCATTACAGCCTCAACATTCATCAGATTATTTGGAAGTCTTTCAAACAAAAAAGGCATGTTTTGAAAAAGGTGGTACATTAACCAAACTTGTATTTGTACTTCCACAAAAATCATGTCTCGAAGCATCTTACAAAGTAGCGTACCGCATTGCTAGAAATAAGAAATCACATACTATCAGAGAATTATTAATAAAACCATGTGCATTAAAAATGGTAGAATTGGTTTGTGGTTTAGAACGAAAAAAATTGAAGCTGTACCTTTGTCAAATGACACTATTCGCTCTTATATGCCAAATAATATTTTAAAACAAGTAATTTCAGAATTAAATTCTACCTCTTTTCCGTTAAGTATGCAACTGGATGAAAGTACTGACATTTTCTTAATGCAGCCAATTATTAGTTTTTGTGCGTTATATGTGTTCTGAGACTATTAAAGACGAATTCCTATTTTGCCAACCACTTTTGGAAAGTACAAAGGCAATAGATGTGTTTGAAATGATAACCAATTTTTTTTCAAAACATAAAATAAATTATAAGAAAAATCTCGGTTCACTGTGCACCAATGGCGCTCCTGCGATGCTTGGTAAATCATCTGGTTTCACAGCTTTGATAAAGAAAGAAATTACTGACATCATAACACTCATTACTTTCTTCATCAATACGCTTTGGCGTGTAAAACTTTACCAACGGATCTAAAAGAGATAATGACAATTGCAGTCAAAGTTGTGAATTTTATCAGAGCTAGAGCATTAATAAATCACCGACTTTTCAATAAAATTAAGACAACAACAAATATCACAATGAACCTTAAAAAAACACCAAACAATTATTCGTATGTATGATGTATCCTAAATGTGAATAAACAAAATTATGTATTTACAAAGTCTTATATTATTAGCATTAAAAAATAATTTTAATTAAAAATGTAGTTATTTTGAGGGGGTCCATGGTTATAGTTTATACTTGAAAGAGGACCATAACCAAAAAAAGGTTAAGAACCTATGCTGTAAATACTATATGAATATAACTGTTTGACAATTTGACACAAGGTTCATTAAAAGTTGTACTTAGTGGTAAAATTTTTTTTTCTTAAGTTTTAAAATCAAATTTTGCATATGGTTTATTGTTGCTTACAGATAAGAATAACTTTATGTATCCTACTCTCCCCTATAAAACAGTGGTGTACCCATCAGCAACAGTGTCAGCTCTTTTTTCATACATTATTATACTTTTTTAAACTTTTATATGCCTATTTTACCGTTTTTTACTAGAATATGTTTACTGAAAGTTGAGGATATTTAATGAAAAATATTCATACATCATACATTTAATATTGTATCTTAAGATACAATATAAAATCCCAGTCAAATTCAAATAATATAATGCATTTATAATTTTAACTAGCCATTAAAGAGTTCTGATAAACTTAATTATGAAAAAGTTGACTACTCTAACAACATATTTTGTATAATAAATAATAAGAAACTCTAATCCTAAAAAAACAACACTGTGCTAAATAATTGTGTTGCCTTCATAAACATATGACAGTTCAATTATTATTTAAAAAATTACCTCTCCATCTATTCTTGCTTGAGTAATATAAGTCAAATCAGGAGGATAGGCACCATTGTTAGCATAACGAGCAGCTTCTTCATTTGGATATGGTTTTGGTAATATATCAGATAATTTTCCTGGTCTCTTGTACATGGCTCCAGTTTCATCAGGGCCATCTTCAATCTAAATTGAATACAATAAGGCAAATATTTTTATTATAAAATATTATGTTAATTTGAAATACTTTTTACTTACCAATTGTTCAGCAGCTTCAGCTTTGGCTTCGGCTTCAGTCAAGCATACGCCCACTAATTCACGATATGCTAAATATTCAACACTGTGGCATGCTGCACATACATTTTTGTAAATTTCCCAACCACGACGAACGCTATAAAATAATTCAATATTATATTCTTTATTTGATATTATGAAAAAAAAAAAAAAAAACAAAATATTATGCTTACCTTGCATGGTCTAAAGTATCAAACCAACCTCTATGGTTCCATTTCTGTTTTGCTAAGGGAGCTGCATCATTCGATGCATGGATTGATTGTTCAAGTGCATAAAGAAGGGAACTACCTCCACCAGCCAACACTCCGAAACTAGTCAAAAACTAAAAAAAAAAATGATTGTTCTTGGCTTATCTATTATCTATTAATAAAATTTGTGTATAAGTATCTGTATAAAAACCACTTTTGATATAGTTTAATTTCACCACTCAATATTTCAATATTTTTTTTTATGCCTTAATGATACAGGTACATAATAAAAATATCTAAAATATCAAAAATACCTTTCTTACCTACGTTTTTAAAATATTCATGATGCTATTACAGTGTACTCCCGATTATCCGTGGAATAGGATGGCAGGATATCCACGAATAAACGAATTCCGCGGATAATTCGCAATTTAACCGATAATGATGTACAATGTACATTCGAGGGTCTAGTATTAAAGGAACATAACATAATGTGTATTGATAAAGCATATTTTACGTCATTATCGAGTTATCGACTATGACAAATTCACAACCCAATTAAACCTATAATGATTTATAATGGAAAGATACAATACATATATATTTTTTTGTATACATATAGATATGTAGACGATTCCGTGGAAGACGGCGGATAATCGGGAGTACACTGTACTCAAATATAAATTCCGTTTCAAATGTTTTACTCTAAAATAATACAAGAGAAGAAATAAAAACCACTATACATTTTTTTTAAAAAATAAGAACTAATTTGCATACATTTTTGAACTAATAAATTGTTTAGAATTATACATAAATTTTAATATCTATTGAATAATAATATAAATAATACTGTCATTATAATATTTAGTTCTCTAAAACAATAGGTAATAATATAAATCCAACAATGTAATAAGAAATTGATTTTGTTTATAAAAAATGCAAGCAGATAGTATTACCTATCAATATATAACGTAAGTCATTAAAGTGATTAAAATCATTAAAGTGATTGAAAGTCTTTGTCTTGTACACATAGGAATTTAAACGTGTTCTATTTCAAATTTACAGATAAGTCTAGTGAAGCGATATACTGAAAACATATTTGAATTTGTGGACAAGTCCACTTGAAATTGACTTTTCTTATTTTTTATTTTAGTCCCCTAAATTCTAAAAAAGCCATAAAAAAAAAGGAGTAATTAAAAAATGAAATAATTTTATTTTGAATGAAAATAAAACCAAAAATCAAAAAAAAGGTAAAAAATTAATTCCAAGTAGACTTGAAGAAAAGTTCAAATCTGTTTTCAGAATTCTTATCGGTTCACTAAACCAATTAGTACGTTGGAAATAGAACACGTCTAAATTCTTATGTTACAGGAGTGTAAGATAAAGATAGAAAATCACCACTTCCAATACTCTTAAGACCCAACGTTACACTAAATAGCCTTCTTTTAGATAATATTGTCCGTGTTATAATTATATACAATTGTATTTAATAGTCATAAATAAAAAAAAAAAAACTAAGATAGTTAAAAAGAATAGAATATAATAAAAATGAATTATTAAAGCTTCGTATTTAAACCATAAGAAGAAACATATAATGTTGTCTTGCTTAAGAGGTTAATTTTTCCATTTTTAATTATGTCATTGACATTACTCTAGACAACTTACGAGTGTTTCTTAAAATAACCCGTAATGTGTAAGTTAGAGTTAACTGGCGGCTGTTTTTTTACAGCAAACCAGGAAAATTCTGTACGTTAACCAACATTTACAGAACGTTATAAAAACGACCTTAAAATTAGTCTTAATTGCATATGATTATGCGACAGTGAATAGATAGGTACTTAATTATTGTAAATGTATCAAATTTTGGTATCGCAATGATAATCTTATAAAAGTAGTATAGTTAAAAACAAAAAAATTAACAATTTAATGTATGCACTACACACTGAAATAGTAAAAAAAAAGATATACCTATGCGAGTGTAATTAAAAATTGAGCCCGGTGCACTAACACAATACAAATTACAGTTCATTGATCGCATGATCTCGGTGTTAAGAAAGGTCACGTTCAAAATACGATTTATGGAATTCTCAATTATTGGCACACGACTATTACAGGAGTTAAACGTAGAAGGGTGTTGTCAGGTTATGGGTGAAGTAACCGACGTAAAGAAAGTCGGCAATTAAAGAGTGCGGGCACCTTACATACCTAATACGGAAGTACGTACAACTAACCGAGCGTGCTGGGCAAACGCGAAACGGGAGTATCGAGTGAAAAACTGTGTACCCACAAGGATAAGTAGGCGCCCGAGTACATAGGTGGTAGGTACTTACAAACTTGTGGTTTTTCGTCCACCTTGAGGCGGCCTTAAAGAATGAAAATGAACTCGTCATCTATGCGGCTGCGATTGACTGTCGTCGGGAACGTTCCACTACCGGGCGGTAGTATGAGAAAAATGTAATCCGCTTCGGTGGAAAGAAGGTTTGTTTTATGCCGTCCGTCGAACGGCGAAAATAATAATCGGTCAGGAAAGGTCTGACGAAATGGATAAGCACGGAAAGAATTTTACGTCTCGTACGACCTACAGCTGCTGTATCCGATAGCAAGGGCACGGTCGCAGTGTAGCCACACTGAAAACGAAATACTATTTGTTCGGTGGGGACGCTACTGTTCCACCGTCAACGCGTCGCGAACATCTGAAAATCGTTCGACGGAGAAAAAAAAAAAAACACCGAAGCCGCCGCCCGTCCGCCGGCCAATCGCATTTCGTCCGCGATACGCTAACGCTATGCTGCCACCGTCACCCCCCGCCACACCCGCCGCCGGCGCTATCGCGCCGCGAAATTGCCGTCAACACGGCCGTATAGCTGTGAGTGTTTCAACAGATAAACGGAAATTCAATTGCCGTCGGGAAAAATATTTATACCTATTCATAAAGTTTTGGGTTAGTGACCTTTGCACATAATTTTGGCTAATGTAGGTGCATCGTACACGTAAGCCGTTCGTCTATACGGATTTACTGTTCACATGAAACACCCCGTGGCAGTGGCGTGCTGAACAATTTTTTTGTACCTGCTCGAGTTAGCGAAACGGACGAATTAGTACCTACCCGCCCAAAACTGTCATATTTACGGCATGCAGTCGACATGAATAATATAAATGATATAATGGACAAAACTATTAGGGCATCTTTGATCACCGAAGTAGTTATACGTAATCGACATTTAACGTATTATTTGTTGACCCAAATTTATCCACCCGTTTTAGTCACGAGGCGATCGCCTCAAAAAAAAAAAAAAAACTTACCGCGGCACGCCACTGCCCCGAAGTATAAAGTACCTATCTACATTGTAATAAGAAAAAAAAACGGACATACTTCGCACGATGTGTGCGGCTACCGTTGTCGGTGAGAAGTTGAAAAGTTAGGATATAGAGGGGAACACCCGAACACTCGATGCATAATATCAATATCAACGATTAACCGTTGCGAACGAAAAACGATTCGGAGCGGAGTTCTGTTATACGCGTATCACAGCTTCGTAATATTCGCGATTTTTCCGAAAATTTGATATTAACACTTTTATAAAAAAAAACCACATATATTATCTATACTCAATTTTTTTTTTCAACCGCTTAGTGCGATTTATAATGGACCTCCTGTTAAATTTTCAAGCACATTTGTTCGGTTTAACGATTTTATCCTGAGAGTACCTACCTACCGAATAAATATTACCTGCGTAAAAAAAATCGGCAAAATTAAAATGTCTTTAAATAGTTCAAAAATCGCTCGAATGTTCTGCGAACTTCACCACGTCCAAAAAACGTAAATATAAATGTCCTGTTCGAATTTCAAGTCTACGCGAATATTTTCGACTGGATTACAAAAAAAAAAAAAAAAACCGCAATATTGAAAATATCGTAATTTTGCGAGTTTTCTCGTTTTTCCTGCGGGTCTTCCCGTTCGTTACGATCACCCCTTGGAAAAAAAAAAAAAAAAAAAAAAAAAAAAAATTTAGCTCTCCGACAAGTTGCTGCGTTTGAAAATCGAAGCGAGAATTCCGTTGAAACGTAGAAGAGCAGAGAAATCGTTCGCGGATTTAGGAAAAAAAAAAATTAACACCGCCGTTGTAAAACATACGCGAGACCGATACGTCCATCGCCCCGGAGCTCGGAATCCCGAACCGGCGTATGCCAGATACTGTTTCGTGGTACCGGCCACGTTGGCTTACAGCCGTTGTACCAGACATCGATCGGTGTTTCGACGTTTCCGACGAACGGAACGATAGATTACCGTTGCGGATCTACCGATGCGGATCGCGCGGTGTCCGGTACACCGCAATGCCGGGGGGCCCGTGCTGTACGTTTTGCCGCACGGGAATAATCGATACGCAGGTGTTTAACGGCGAATATCGCGTCGCGCGATTAGACATCGGCGCGCGTCAGGGGTACTACGGGGTCCGTCGAACGGCCGGTGCGCGCCGACGTGAACAACGGCGGACGCGTTGCGGATCTCGAATAAAACATTTTAGATTTTACATTACTGTGGCCCGTTCGTTTTTTTTTTTTCTGTGGCGTTTTTCACGGAAACCGTCGAAAACGAGGCGCACCCCGCAACACTCGGTATTTGTTTTTCACCGACAATATCCAATGGGCTTTCGACTATAATACATTTGTACGTTTTTTGCAAAAGACGAGAGCAACGGGAGAACTCTTTCCTGCGTGATCATTTTTCAGGCACCGCTAAACCGCCCGTTTTACGCGTATTGTGTTACCTGCCATAGGCCTACTGACCGTTAATAGACTTGATGCGGTGGTAGAAAAATATGGGCATGTTCTCCGAAAACTGACATAAGACGAAAACAAACAATGAGAAATCACCGATATCAAAATAGAAAAAAAAAAAAAAAAATCTTATTTACTATTCAGCACGATTTAAAATCGTTCTAATCACGGCCTTAGAAAAATCCCAGTCGTAAACGTGCTGAAGATTATATTAAATCGCGATAATATTTAGTCACGTGGCTTATAATGGTTCAACTATTGCAAGGTTTTTAGTTTTTTTTTTTTTTTTATTATTATTTGTTTTATGATTCAGAAGGTAATTGTATAATCTGGAAAGAATCATTTACAATAAGCACAATTGCACAAGTATTTTTAGGTTTACATAAAAAAAAAATAAATTAAATAAATTAGATTAGCTAAATTTTAGATAAAGGCGGCTCAGGTTTTTAGTTAAATCTTTGAACAAATAGTAGTGTTTAAATAACGCAAATGTACCTATGCATAATTGTTAATAGTTGATATTATTATAGGTACTGATCACGGTTATCACGTGGTACTGATTATGTTATCAATTAGCACTTCAATATTTTGAAAATACCTATTTGTCAAATCATAATCGTATGTACAATATACCGTATGCAAGGCGATTTATCGGACACAATACAATGATACGTACAGTTTTATTTGTATCTACGCGAGTAGGCATGCAGTTAGGAACATAATAAAATAATATATTATTATTTAATCAATGCTAAAAGTTAAATGATCTATGAACAGAAAAAAAAAGTAGAAAAACACGTACATTTAATAGCAGTCAATTGTATACAAGGCGCTATTTCCCGGACGTTGACTAGTATATTTATTTAAACGCTAGATGGCACAGTCTAAAGCATAAAATGGTAAAGTAAAACCGGAAAGTAATTAATAAATCATAATAAATACATTCGGCTGATTTAAAATTATAGCCCGTACTATCGGATATTGTGGTCAGTAAACTATTATTTCCAAGACGATTAAATAAAATGTATTTGTAAAAACGTCTACACCTCCGAAAAGTGATAAAACGATTCTGAGCGGAGTTCGGTTGTACATTTTTTAAAAGGCCGTAATATTCACGATTTTCGTCAACATTTTACATTAAAAGTCTATATAAAAGAAAAACAAAATTACATTTAACTCAACTTTTTCTTGTTGAACACTAAATATAACTTATAATGAACTTCCCGTTAAAATTCCAAGCATTTCTGTTTAGTTTTATAATTTTATCCGTAGAGTACCTACTGAATAAAATAATGTAAACATTTCGCAAAATTAAAATTACTATAAATAGCTTGAAAATGGCTAAGATATTTTGAACATTTCAACACGTTTAAAAAATATAAATATAGTTTTATAAGTTAATATAAGTTTTTTATCCAAATTCTAAGTCTCTACGAACATTTTGAACTGTGTTACACCGAAAATCAAAATCAAAATCCAATGATAGGTTAATAATGAGTTACAACCAACATAATATTACTTCATGATAAATGATTTAAACAACACATTTATGCGTACTGTTTGAAAATGTTTGAAGCCTTTGTGAACCACTTACACATTCATTATCTGCCTATTGGGAGGTAACTAGTAGTAGACCCTTTTTGTTTATGATAAAGTTTAGGGTACGCCGGGAGGCAATTCATATTAAAATTATCAACTTTTTGACCTCGGGAGGCGACTAATATGCACCTAATATTTTGTTCTGGTACAATCCCCTTGGTTTTTTTTCATGATAAAATGGTACTTGATATTAAAAGTAGCTTTTATACCATTTGAAGTTTGGATGAAATATATCTCGGTACTCGGCAATATTTAGTGATAGAAGAATAGTGTTAACGGCAAAAGATTAAAGGTATTATTATTCATAAATCATTTTGATTACCTATAGCAGTGTTTCCCAATTTATTTTACTCACGGAACATTTACGGGAACTTGAATATTTTTTGGATTACCCATTGTTTTTTTCATAACCACGTAACGCAGACATTTTTTGAATACTCAAATAAGCGGGCAGTCCAAGACTTTCGAAAAAAAACAGTGAACGTGTCCAATAAAAAAAAAAAAAAAAATAACAGCAATGACGATTTTTAAAGTTTTGTTTTGTTAATAAAACTTATTTATTACAATATTATTATTGTATATAATATCAAAGATGAAAAATTAATATTAATTTCTCATTACCTCAAAGATAGATTTAATGAGAAGATCGGAATCTTTCCATAGTTTTCTTCATTATTGTAATCAAATCCGGAGATATTCCTGAAAGCTGGATTATTCAACTAATTCCGAAAGTTAGTCTTCGTTTTTTTTTTTTTTACTCTGAACGTCAGTTTTGCACAAATATGAAGTTGCAATTTACAATAAAACGGTGACAGCCTTGATGAATAATTTTTTTTGTAATCACTTTCTATGGCATTCTAAAATTCCTTAGTTTTAATTATAAAAATAATCAAATCGAAAATGTTATTTAGTAATTTTTTTTTCTCAAATTCCTCGCGCATCCTCGGCTCTGGTTCGCGGAACCTTTGGATTCCGTGGAACACCAATTGGGAAACACTGATTTATAGGTACATTTTTCCTAAGTATAATATATTATACTATATTTGACTACAAGTATGAATGTCCCAGGATATTCCTGTATACCATACCTGTATAATATATGATCGAAAACCACAGTGCGTTGCGTATTCATATTATACTATTTTGTCTATTGGTATAATTTTGGGAAACTCACTTTTCCGCCAAATTCGATCTTACCGTTTACCGCGACTATAATAATTCGTACTACCATTTTCCGCCACAACAATTTTCGGTTTTTATATTTTGGTGATTCCTTGATGTAAACAAATATTTTTGGCCTTATAATTACATGTTCAACAGCTTTTATTTTACATGCTGCATATTTACTACTTATTGTTTCTATAATGCTTGGCTGGAGTATTTTTCATGATTGTGCTGCGGTGTATTTCTATTGATTGTAGAAATTGCATAATTATCATCTATATACACTTTTGCTGTACAGTTTTTAGTTGTACACCGTCAACGTAAGTCCTTCATTACATGAACCAATTCGAAATTTAAAATTGTCTAAAACATTAACTGTTTTTACCACGATTAATTTCAATAATTATATTTTCTATTGTGACGAATGTTTCTTTTATTTTGTTTCTTAAGATCGTCAATAAAAACTAAAATGTAAAACTCTACAAACGATAATATTTCGCGTTTCCTAATCTATAATATAATATTTTAATATTTACAATAAGGGGTTACCAAATTATAAAAACTGAAATTTGTTATGGCGGAAAATGTAATTACAAAATTATTTTACCGGCGGTAAATGGATAGGTCGATTTTGGCGGAAACCGGTGACGCCCATAATTTGTCCATAATTAATTAATGTGTATCTTACAATGTGTATTATTATGATTTTCGGGCGCTCACCAATTGCCTCAGAATTTAAATTGTATATTCATAATCATAAAGCATAACAACAATTACTGATATTGCGAGTTTATTTTATATTGATAATAAAGGGGCAAGGGGCGTAGTGTCACTGATTATTCGGTAGGCGTAGACCATCACGTCATGTCGACCGATTTCGGATTACCATAGGAGCTGGAACAGGCGTTTCTGAGTAGATAATTATTTATATTGTACAATTATTATAATGATGTACCTAGTTTGTAGTTTGTATAAAATGTTCACAAAGAAATTCTACGTTCAATATTACGAAATAATTGCC